CATTTAAATATTGGTCAATCCGCACCGCGCACACTTCCTCGTGGGTCAAAGTGGGGCGGATCACCTAACTCGTCCTCAGTGACGAGTTCAAATTTAGTTTTCTTTCTTCCTCGTGGCCACTTTCCTTCTATTCTTCCTTCAATTATATCTTTCAAAAGACCACCTCCCCTAAGCACATGCGATCCATTTCTTTTTTCTGTCTCTTATAATATAATAAAGTTCTTTTCTTCTTTAGTTCTCAAGTACTTGTCTATTTGTTAGTCTTTCCAACTATATGTATCAGCTTGTCTTTACTCTTATTGGCCTGATTTGTTTCATGCTGTTGATGTAGGATTTCTAGCATACTTTGTTGCTTTCTTCTGTTCAATATACTATAAATAGGCTACTATTTAATGGTTTGAATCTGAAGTAGAAAGTAAGTGACTGACCTATTATTCTTATTTATTTATAAGAATTAAATCTAGTGTAAGTTCATTATGTAAGAGCGTACCATTTTGTTTTCAAGCTCTGTTTTTTATGGTCACGTCACTTGATAGAGTGAAATAAAGAAAGTTAATAAATAAATCACCTCACACGTTCTCATCTGGTATGATGTCTTTGGGTGGACCTAATTTAGTACTGTATATGAATATTTTCATTTGTATTACGTTTCAGAGAGATTGGTATTTGCAACAGCAAGTAAAAACAAGTGCTTGACTGCTGTGAAGAAGCCCATACTTAGCAAATAGTAACCGGAAATATACCTAACAATTTATTGGGACTCAAGAGATGATGAGTAACTGGACCCAACTCACGTTCAGTATTCATATGCAGTAGCCAGTAGTTCATTCAACTTAGGAGAATCAAATAAGAAATGTTAATGACTTCCTTAAGATGAAACATTATCACATCAGGATGCATGACTAATTCACCCTGATAATATGTTTATAATGAATGTTGTTTTAAGAGAGTTCTAGTTTAGATTTCTGCTTGTGAACGTAGATAGTATAAATTGCTCCGCTGAAGATAGCGATTTATCTAATTAAATACAGCAGTGTAACTAGACCAAGTGAAGTGCTGGGCTCTGTTTGCATTGTGGTTTGTTTAAATGGATTTAAAGAAGCCAATACCAATAAAAAAATAATCTGGATGTTGTAAGTCAGCGGTTCTCAAACTTTTTGATTGACGACCCACACTCCCCTCGACGTTAAAAATCAGATAATGGTTTTTCAACTAGTAATCAAAATTACAGTAAAATGTTTACAATATATGAGAGAATGCACTCCCGGTTGGGCCGATTTCGATCAAACTTGGTCAGTAAAACAAGTGGTAGGCCTACCTCTCAGATATAGGGTGTTCACCGCTTAGGCAGTGGCGAAACTAGGTTCTGAGGGGCCCTGGTTCGAGAGTACCGTCGGGGCACTTGACGCATATAAATTAGCAATTACTACTCTTTTACTGAAGTAGTCCATACTAATACCATCCCCCGCCAAACATCATCGACATGAAATCGAGTATTGCAAAATTTATTATTTTTCAATTATGAAAGAAAGTACCAATATTGTAACTGTGATCATTTAAAGAGGAAGAAACCTGGCAGGCCATAATTATATTTAGCCTTTGGGTTGATAAAAACCGGCACTGGTATCTCCGCATAGCTAATTTCCATTTCCTGTCAATAGAGTAGCCCTCTCAGTGAAAAACACTGCTCTTCCAAAGGGGCTCTACACAATAAAATCTACGGAAGGAAATAAACTACACTAAATCTATATCTTTTGAATTTGGAGTAAAAGACAGTCTGGTACGCTTTTCTCGTTGAATCAATTCGGCTTGAGAAATTACAAACTTGATTTTCTCGCTATGGAGATCATGTGTACTATAAATTGAATTGTATTACCGGTACGTTTTTAAATAAATCATTAAGCCTCATGTAATGTGTTGGCTTTTGGTAGGCCTATTACCGATTACTTTGTAAGAAGTTTTGATTATTTAAAGTAGTCATATATATTAGCAGACAGACAAAAGATTGACAAAGTGAAAGCTATACTAATGGAGCACTAAAAACCAGGGGTTCGCTTTTTTTTTTTATATGGTGGACGGGGGAGACCGGTGAGCGTTGTTTACAGTTGTCCTACCCGAAGAATGCTTGTTTTAAATTTAGATAAGAAAAAAATTAAATAATTATAGGACGATGGGGTGATAATGACTACGACAATGATGTAGATGGAATGAATGAGTAATTGAGGCACTATCATAGCTGCTGGCTTGAAATTCCATAGCCACCTCAGCTCCACCTTAGTTGGGGCGAGGTGCGGATTTGTTTAATCTAGAGCACCCCACGATGTCTGGAAAAGGCACCCTCAGATTTTGAAATTGTCTTGATTTTGAAAATTAGAAAACTTCAGCCACCACTTTCTAATATGCCGACATCAAGTGAACTGGAATAATGAAAAATAACTGACACTATCATTCGTGCAATCTAAATTCAAGCAAACTTTTACACAAAAAAATTGCAATTTCTATTGTGAATTACTGGAGAAAGTATAAAATTTCACAAAAAAAAAGCTTGAGATAGGGCCTGAAAGCAGTCTCACGCCATATAAGTAAACATGGATAATGCAGGCTAAAGTGAAGCGAGTCCAAGCTGGAATTAATGAGATCCAAAGTGGCCCTGTCCTGGTACAGGGACAAGCGCCCCAACAATCATCAGCTCCCTCAACAGCAGAAAACTTTATTCTGATTTTATTTCTATGAAGAAAGATATCTTCATGATCATATCGTGAGAAGGAAATACAAAGGACAAGCGATATTTGTTGGTAAATTATATTGGTGGTCAGGCTTTCATGAATGCATAGATGGATGACGATCTGTTTCACTGTGGATTTCCATCCATCACGATGATATCGGCGTTTGAGTGACAATTTTTACAACTGGGCAATGTATAATTGATTATTTTAAAGCGAAATTAACAGTTTTAAATGATAAAATTCAGTATTGAATAAAGATAAATATTATTAATCAATAATTTTCTTTGCATTGCTTTATTAGATTTTTTTTCTATAAGGGGCCCTAGAGTTCGGGAGCCCACAGTTTCAATGAACCACCTGAACCTGTTGTAGTTACATCACTGCTAGGCAATATTAACTTACAATGTGCAGTAT